GTTTTTGCTGGTTTCTTCCTTTGCTGGATACCAATGTGGAGTTTGTCTCTCTCCAATCGATTCTACCCAACACCAGTTCCTAGAGTGGTTCCATTGTTGGTGACATTTTTCGTGTTTTTAAGTAGTTCCATCAACCCCCTTATTTACGCGGCGACAAATAATGGATTTAGACAAGAGTTTCGCAAAATGCTGTTTTGTCGTCGCCAACGAAGGCAAATTGTCCCGAGACAAAAAAGAGCTGGGACAATCGTGGAGAACATTGAACTACAGGAGCATGCAGATGTCAGTAGAAATGTCACGTATATGGCCATTTTAAAGATGAGTGCGAACGGAAGCATTCTTTAGAAAAGATATCCAAGATAATTAGACCGCAAAAGTAGTTGCCTTATGAGTTAGTCAATACACCACTGAAGTTAGAAATAAACCTAACTGGAAGTGGAAGGACTCTTTAGATTTTCTAATGAGACTGTTGAACTTGAAAACTACTTTTAGTGCTATTACCTTTTTTTCAAATTTTTATCTTCATTTTATCATATTTTTACATTTTTTAAAGGCTTTCTACTAGAAGGCAGAAAGCTCAGTGTAAGGTTTAGATAATTTTTTACCAGGGGAAGTATTGTTGTCCCATCATGCCTTTTAAACCTGATTCCAGTAATATTATTTTTTTTTTTCACATCGTGTGATATAGTTCAACCACTCCGTTGTATATATCACTGGATACTTCCCTTTTTATTACATCGTGTGATATAGTTCAACCACTCTGTTGTATAAAGCATTGAATATTTTCCGTTTTTTTTTTTACATCGTATGATATAGTTCAACCACTCTGGTACTGAATATTCTCATTAGTTCTGCAAGTGATACTACTAGTCCGTAAAATCGTGACAGTGACAGCCCTGGCAAATGCGACTATTACTCAAACTGAAACATGGATCATTCATGCATATGGATGTCAAATGGGAAAAAATTTAACGAAAAGAGTAACTCAGAGTGTCACTTCCAAGTCGCCAAGAAAGTCATGTTATTTTACCCGACGCTCGGTGTAATGGCTACACTTTTCAGGTCGAGAATGACAGGTTACGCGATTAACACTGGACATTTTTGATTTCGAAAAACTTTGACATCTTGGCACAATAGTAACACAATTCACGCAGACAATAATTCCAAGCTGTTGTCAAAACAGTACGCCATTCTTTTAGATGTTTTTTATCTCGCGCCATTGTAAGCCAGTTTTTAAAGGTTTCCGACTGTTGCCGAAAGCTTACGTTTTCGATCGTTAAACGAAAGAAAGTTTTTAATCAAGTGACTCAGTCAGTCATTCCGATATGAAAAGCACACACTGCTACACTTATTTTATAGAATTGGTTAAATTTCATAAAATTCTTCTTTCTGTTTCTAAGCAACAACAGCGAGCTGCGAGGAGTTCATAGTCTGCTAATCAAATATTTTATTAAGGCTAAGATATTAACGGATTTCATTGAATCAGATAAAGGCACATTAACACTTCTTGGTTCCCTTTGACAGGTGCAACTGCCAAGAAAAACTTACTGAAGAAGACTTAAACCTTCTGAGGTCCATCAAATATTTTTTTCTTGTTACCACTGTTTCTAAAGATTTAAACTAAGTTTTGAATAAATTTGAGCCTAACCAGGTGAATTTCCTTTCGCTTACCGCCACCTCACACTGTCAGAAATTGCAATTCTTTTTTCTTCGATGGATTTATTTTAAAAACTCCTGAAGATCAGCCCGGAAAATTAACATATTTTTTTCATAACTTCCTCGTGTACTTTCGTAGGAAATATTATCGACCCTTATTTCGATTATGATTGAAACGCTCAAGGGGGCACCTCATAATTAAAATAGACTCTTCGGAGAAGTTGAGTATGACGGATAGGGATGTCTCTTTTTTAGGCCAGGTGATCACAAACAGGACATTTTTCACGAGTTGAAGTATAACATACAGCAAGGTACACCGTGTGTTTAAATACCGTGTGTTTAAATAAATTCTTTCCAAAAGGCCGATCAGTGTAGGTATGATTCATGATTACTGCTTTTCTGAATGGTGGTTTACTGCTTAGCTTTAAATGACTTAAATTAAAGACATCCGATATTTATTTTGGCGGTTAGTTAGGCTTATTTCAAAATAGAAGTTTTTCAAAGCAGATTCTATTCACTCTCTTTAAGACTAGACTGACGAAGCGAAATGTTCTCATGGTTTTCGTACACACCAACTTAATTCATTTGGGATGAAAACACTGACACAAAAACCGATGTGTTTGAATTGTTGAAAAGGCAGTAATCGCCCACTAAAAATTGCAAATTTGACATTCGATATTGAATTTCACATGTTCCTTATGCAATCACCTACCATCAGCCAAAAAAGGAAAACAATTCAATTAGTCTTAGCCCAGCGTCTTTAACAGAGGAAGATCTCTTTATATTTTCTTCCTGCTGTTCCTATTCCACGTTTCTCACTTTGGATGCGCGTTTTCATAATGCAGCGTAATTCTATTAGTTAATTCTTTATCCTAATATGAGGAGGTACACAAAAGATAACTTTGCGTCGGTGTTTACAAATGGAAGCCTGAGGACAAAACTGGTTTACTGCAAATCTTTCAGCAATATTTTGAAGATTTTTCGAGTTGATTCCTCACGTATTTTTCAGAAAGATATGCTGAGAAAGAATGTTAGTATAAACGCCATGCTTTTCTGGCTATGAATAAGTATGATATATCAAAGTTCCGGAGTTACAGACGGATGTCAGCTTGCGTGATGATGCCTGGGTAAATATTCTGTCAATCAGGAACGCAACTCATGAAACTGAGTTCACAAGCGGAAGATCGTGAAAGGTTCAAAATGGATGTCCTAGATCTTCCCCCAAGAAGCTTAGGTCTGGTTATCCTCGAATGCAGCATTTGTCTTTTGTTAAATATCGGTAGTTTAGTCGGTAATGGCATGCTTTGTGCCGCAGTCTACCGCAATCCAAGACTCAGATCCACGACCAACTTATACATCATTGCCTTATCTGTCGGAGACCTCATTTGCGCCGTTCTTGAAATGCCGTTTACCTTTTGGACGTTGGTAGTGGGAAGATGGGCCCTCGGTGACGGGATGTGCCAAGTTCACGGTTTTGTCGAC